ACATAAGTACGTCCAAAGTTGGATGTCCAAAGTTGGCATACTGTGGGCCAAATTAAATTGGAATCTTTTTAATGCCTAATAAATTTTTAAATTTTAAATATTTTTTTTAATAATTTTTTGGATATGTAATGGCCTACGATATTAGAATAAAAAAAACTTTGCAAAGCGGGTCTACTTCAGTGGCATACAGACCTCTTGAATTAATATAAAACCACAGATAACACATAATCCAGATGGCCATTGCTTACGGAACAGCATGTTTTCGATGAGACAGTTCCCTATTAATGACACAGAGGGCGCCTATAGCCAAATCTAATAATATTTTTAAAACGAACGAATTTGGAGCCACACCACGGCCACGCGATGTGAAGCGACGTAGCCGGTTGTTCACATTTATAAGCAAATTCCCGGTCAAACCCAGGGAAAATGTATATTCGGACTTTAATACTAGACAATTGGATATGAAAATACTCGTCGCAGTGGATGTTTGAAAGTCAGAATTTCTAGATGCATATATATGCTATTTATAGCCATGAAATTTATAATTTAGATTTATTTTTATTATTTGTCTCTTAATATTCATTAGCTGAAAATAAGGGTAAAGGTTATCTATATAGTAATAAATAAAATTTGGCACATAGGTTCCTTAAGTGATGTAAATGAGCACTAAGAAGGGATTTTTTGAAAATTCGACCGCTAAGGGGGTGAAATTAGGGATGAAAAGCTGCATAAAAATTTGTTAAAATCTGGTTTAAGAGTATGAAATTTTTCACGAGTGCTCCTTGACTGACGTAATTGAACACTAAGGGGCAATTTTTGGAAATTCGCTCGTTAAGGGGGTGATATGGGGGGTACTTTTGTATACAAAAAAAAGCATGTCCTAGGACTACGAAATTTTGCACAGAGGTGCCTTAAGTAGCGTAACTTAACAGTTCGATTATACAAAGCGATTTTAGGAAATTCTTCTACTAAGGGGTGAAACTGGGGGTGAAATTTTGTATACTTTTTTAAAATTAGTCCGAGGAGTTTGAAATTTGGAAATTGTTAATTAAGCGACGAAAGTGAGTACTCAGAAACGAATTTTGGACATTCATCCCCTAAGAAATAAGGGATGAAAATTGGTATAAAAATTTGTCAAAATCGGTTTTAGAAGTATGAAATTCTGCGTAGACGTTCCTTATGTAACTTAATTTAGCACTAAGAGGCAATTTTAGGAAATTTTCCCTCTAAGGGGGTGAAATGAAGGGTGAACGTTCTGAAAAAAAATCTGTCCTAGAAGTATGAAAATTTGCACAGAGGTTCATCAAGTGATGAAAGTTATACTCAGAAGCGAATTTTGGGCATTCATCCCTTAAGAAATAAGGGATGAAAATATGTACAAAAATTTGTTAAAATCGGTTTTAGAAGTATAAAATTGTTCGCAGACGTTCCTTATATAAGGTAATTTAGCACTAAGAAGCAATTTTTCGAAATTTTCCCTCTAAGGGGGTGAAATGAGGGGTGAACTTTCTGAAAAAAATCTGTCCTAGAAGTATGAAAATTTGCACAGAGGTTCCTCAAGTGATGAAAGTGAGTACTCAGAAGCGAATTTTAGGCATTCGCCCCATAAGAATTAAGGGATGAAAATTTGTACAAAAATTCATTAAAATCGGTTTTGGAAGTATGAAATTTTGCGCAGACGTTCCTTATGTAACGTAATTTAGCACTCAGGAACAATTTTTGGAAATTCGCCCTCTAACGGGGTGTGAAATGAGGTGTGGACGTTCTGAAAAAAAATTGCTTGTTATTGCTAAATTACGTTACATAAGGAACAAACCGAATTTCATACTTCTAAACCCGATTTTAACAAATGTTGTACAAATTTTCATCCCTTATTTCACTCTCTTAGGAGATAAATGTCCAAAATCCACCTGTACAAAATTCCACACTCGTAGGACTGTTAGTTTTAACTAACAATTTATTAAAGTGCAACTATATAAAAATTATACAGGGTGGCGCCTCTCATACGACTCGGAGGCTCCAAGGAGAACGACCAGTTCGTATTAAAATGAAATTTTGTGAGCATATGTAAGTTAATTCTGCGCACGTTTTAAAAATATAGAGCGTTCTACAGGGTGTCCCCAAAAAAAGTTACACATCAAATTTGTGTTTTTTTGTAACGGAATACCCCCTTTATTAATTAATTTTTAGATTCTAAGAGAAAAATAAAGGTGTATTTTATTAGGGAAGTATATGACTGAAATGTAAGGTTTTAGACTTACTTAAGATTTTGAAGAACAATTTTTAAATTTCAAGAAAAACTACCTAAATTGGAATTTACTCTATTGCACTTTAAATCAAATTAAAACCTGACCCATAAAGTTATACAGGGTGGGGCAAAATTAATGCTGAACATTGGTATAACCTGTATAACTCCTTTATTACCCACCCTGTATAACTCCTTTAGTTTAATTGAATCACCCAGAATATTATTCCGATATTCAATGGGAAATTCATGTCACTTCCAAATACTATTAAAGTTGCCGGCCTACCCCTCAAACAAAGATTTTCCTAGATATTTTCATTTCTATGATTTAGTGTGAATAGATCTTTATTATTTGATAAAATCTAGGGTGGCTGTGATATGTCTGACGTTACTTCAACATAGCTGTCAAATTAGTTCAACTTTAGCAACTAGTTATCATTTTGTGTCAGTTCGTCAGTTGAAACAAAAAAAAATCTAAGAAATTTTCCGAAAATAGAAACTTATCCTACATCAGAGAGAATTCTATTAGTTAGCTCCTGATTTTATCTAGTCTGGGCTTTTTTATTTGATTAACATATATCAAATTAAAAAGCCGAGACTAGACAGTGTTAACAAAACTCGACCAAACCAAACCAAACTATTGTCTGAAACTGCATTTTTTTACTTACTAAATATGAATTTTACTTTGTTTTGTTGATCTTTGAAAGGTGTATAAAGTCGAATCATTTTAGATTGGACATTTAAATTTTATGGGATTTTCGGGATCCCGGAATTTAATATCGGGATTTCGGAGATAAACATACACGCCGCCGGGATCCTGGGAGTTCGGGATTTCAGGAAACTCTAGTCGTGAGATTAATGATGTACAGATGCATGTCATGTTGATTTGGAAGTGACAATCGATAAGATTTATCATATAATTTTACATACCTATTAAACGACAGCGATCTTCATTTCCAAGCCCACTCCCATGCCTTTTTTTTCTATCGTACGGTATATTCACTAACTGCATTACCTACTTATAATTTATAACAGTTTATATTCACTGATTCATTTATAATTTGTATCCACTTAATATTACTTGATTTATCCATCGTAAACTTTGCATAGATATAGAAATATAACGATGGACAACTCTTAATGTGTTAAATTATACCCTACGATCGAAAAAAAAACGGCGTCCGATTGGTTTGGAAATGACGATCGATGACATTCCCCATATAATTTTACATATCAAATGACAGCGATCTTCATTTCATAGCCATCGCTGACGCCGTTTTTTTTTCGATCATACGGTATATGGTAAAAGCCATCGATCACCATTTCTAAGGTAACTTAACGCCGTATTTTTACATACAAAATGTGCAAAAAAATTCTATATGAATGAACTCACAATTTTCTATCCACTTTGTACATAAATTAGGATCTCTTGACGCATGAAACTTAAACACATGTACACCTGATTTCCGAGAAATCTCACAATTGTAAAATTGACACTTATTACCAGACATTTTAATAATAATTATCACTAATCACACAGTTGTAATCAAAGACAGTCAAAGGTATATAGTATATTACCATCACAGATTACCATATATTACCCGGCTTTTAAAATATCCATTAAAAACAAAAAACAGTAACGACATATCTAAATCTTCTATCTTTGTCGCATATGGTTCGTTCCTGTATTATTCTGTGATAAGGGAAGGAATAGAGATTTTCTGTGATAAGTGGTAAAGCTAGGTTTTCATATGTACAAATTTGGCAAACTTTCCAGGAAATTCGGTCATATTTTTATTATAAAATTATTTATCATAAACAAATTTATTGTAAAAAAAAATTTTAAAAGTACATTCAAATTTTAAACGTTTCAATTAATAAATAACGTAAATCACTTTTAAATTAAATTTAAGAAAAAAAAATCAAAATTAATAAAACGTAAATCACTTATGAACAAATCATTATTTTAATTTCAAATTTATATTTCGAAGTTATATTACAAGTTATTTACTGTTGTCTTATACAGAGTACCTATATCAAGGCAAATGCGAAACTTTAAGGGGTGTATTCTTTGTTATTTGTCAACATTTTTAAAATAAGCTGAAGAGGTTGAAATAAACTATTTCTAATATTCGTTAATTTGACAAAAAACTGGAGCAAAGATATGGCAAAAATGGATAGATTTGTATATTTAGAACGTTTTTATGACTTGCAATTTTTCCATTAAATTCATTATTTGAAGTTAAAAAAAATTGTAAATCATTATGTATTGGGACCAAAAAAATATTTTAGCAAAGAAGCTGTACGCCTTAAAAACAGTTTTATTTTCTACTACTGTAAAATATTTTTACAAACGACATATAAAGATAATTGATTGACAAACATGTTTTAAGCTACCCTTCCTAAATCTTCCTTAAAATAAAAAGATTAACAGATGGGAATACATATTATACCGTATGATCGAAAAAAAAACGGCGTCCAGTTGGCTGGGAAATGGCAATCGATGACATTTCCCAACCAATGATGGCAATCGATGAAATTTACATTTAAAATGACAGCGATCTTCATTTCATAGCCATCACTGACGCCGTTTTTTTCGATCATATGGTATATCAAATAAAGTATTATTAGAAAAGCTCACTAGATTGTTTTCTAGTAAAAAAGACCTTATTTTGTCACAACAGGTGACATTTTTTTGTTTTTAATCAAGTAGGTTTTAAAAAAACTACAATAGGTAAAAAAGTTTCTAAACAAATAGAATATCCAAATTAATTTATTTCCAATGACAATAATGTGTAAGTTTGTAATTAAAGTTAGTTAATAAGAATAATAGGTGTAGTATATTTCAACATCATTCACTGGTTTTAAAAACATCAAAAAATATGCATGTGTTTTCATAGTATAAATATGAATTGTTCCTTACGTTAGTTCTTATTGATATAAAAGCAAAAAAGTATAAAAATTAAAAGCTGCAATTTTATTAAAAATATGTTATTCTAACACATATTTTTTTAACTGTAATGTTCTAAATTGATCAAAATATAAATGTTATTTTTTTCCTAGGAAAAATAAAACTTCATAACTTAATTTTCATAAATAAATTTATTTCTATTAAATTTTATAGAGCAATTTGTATTACAGTTTTATTTCACATATTTTGTAATACTGCTTCGGTGCAGTGCCCCATTGCTATCTGTGAGTTCATTTAAATTATGACGACATTACTGATCTAGAAGATAAAAATGTACCTAAGTACCTTAATATTATAATCAAAAATGGCTAATTTTGTAAATTATTACCTATAATGGTTAGATGAGTTATGAATGTAAACTTCTTTACGCTGGTTTCTTGAAGTTAGGTGATATTAATTATCTTCGCATCATCATGGGCTCTAATCAACTGTAGAGTATTCGTCAATCAACCTGAAATATGTAATATTATTTACTTTATATTTACGAAAAATTATCATTTTCTTTTATGAAAATTTTGAGTTTAATTTAAATGTGATTAGAATAAATATACATCAGTATTTAACATTTTATCATAGGTAATATTCTATATATTACCTGTGATTTTATGCTAAAATGTTTAGTTTTGTGAAAATATTACTTACCTATAATATTTAAACGAGTTCCTGAATGTACAATTTGTTGTCAATTTCTAAATCTTGTATTGGTTGTCTAAAACTGTTTGATTTTGCTTAGTTATATTGTATCCTATATTTTATTAAACAAACTCAAAATAATGTTTATAATTACCTTTATCAGCCTTCATATCATTAAAGTTATTATTATCACTTATCATTATCAGTCATTATGTAGTTATTTGTTCATTTGTTGCTCTATTTGTTGTTGTTTGTTTTCAAAGATCATTTTTGAGGTTAATGTCATATGAAACTTTTCGTAATTAGGCAACTGGTAAATGACGTGTGACGATAAATTAATAAAATAATAATGAACGTATTAAGTTAAATATTTATATATTAATTTAACATATCTATTTCATGTTTATAAATTACATAATTTTTAATTTGGTATACCTTTAATTTTATATATTCATAATGAAATGAAATATATTTCGATATAACGTTTGGCAACCACGCAACTGAAGTGCAAACGACATCTGTGCAAGAGAAGCAAAACCTCCCAAAAAAGTGAGAAAAGAAATCTAAAAATTTCAGATTATTCAAATGTCACTCCAATATTTTTCCAAATTGGAGTGAAATTAGGGTGACAATTTTTAACACGTAAGGAGCCATCTGGATTATGTGTTATCTGTGATAAAACTTTTAAAATAAAAAAATAATACATTTTAATGTACGCCACTGAAGTAGAGTAGCTTTTATCATTGTTGTTTTGACTGTTTTTATCTGTAGTAGTATTATCAACGTCACTACTGTCAAAGTCACTAATTAAACTTCTACGTCCAGGTGTAGGTATTCTGAACGAGATTCAATTACGAATGGCTCAGATTTGCTGCTCAACGAACCATCACAGTCACTCATTTTAATGTTAGATAATAATAATAATAATTAACAAAATTATGTAAATCTGATGATTTTGGCTACTGTAGTATAATGGACCCAAAGTTTTTGAATTTTTTGAATTATTAGATGCCTGACCCTCGATTTTACGCATAAAGCATAAACATCACATTAACCAATCTGACCGCGACTTTTAAACAGATAATTTTCCCCTTTAATAATCGAATTTTAAACGGGGGTTCCTCTTTTGTCAAGATATCATGAAATTTCAAGATTTCTTGAATCAAGACAAGAAATCAACTCTCAAGAAATGGCCAAGACAAGATTTTTTTAATTCTTGAAAATATTTCAAGACAAGTCAAGAAATTGCTTGTCAAGACAAGATTTCTTGTCTTGCCGATCACTACTTTTAACGTTTTGTGTATGCTAATATTGGCAAAAGTGTTTGGCAGCACTGCTATCAGGTCATTAATGTGCCAATTTGGTTTTTTTCTTCTGTTAAATGGTGCGTTTTGTGTAGAGTGTGTTGCATTTTTATTAGACATTTTTTACCATATTACACTGGAAGATATTTGAAGCAGTTCTGTGGGGAAAGTGTGGAAATACTAGTACACCTCATCACTGAGTGCGCCGCGACGACAACCATTCGTACAATGAACTTTGGTACGACTGATATTGGAGATGGAGAACTACTCTCTATAAAACCGTCCCAGATACTGGCTTTTGTCAAAGCCCTGGGATTGTATGATCAGTTATAACTCAAGAAAGGGGGACACAATAGATTTGTAAGGTCGCAGTGATTAACCCCCCTCCTATTCATTCTAAATTCTAATTCTAGTTCTAGTATAATATAAGATACTAGTTAGAATCTAAAATAAAATGAAATTGCCTTTTTATTTAAATTTTGATAGCGCACTTCTATGAAAAAAACGAAGAGTGAGATCATAGTCGAAGTGTGAGATCATACCTTCCAGTAATAATAGGAACTTTGAACAGCCTATGTGTACTGTGTGAACTAGATGATGATATTGTTTAAAATGAAGAAGTGCAATCGTTAAATATTTTTTAGATGAGACAAAACAGGATTTTTACGTAGAATTCGCATCGTTTCAGGATAATTTAAAGAAACTTTATATTTTTGAAGAGTCTCATCCTTAAAATTTATGCTGAAGAACAAAGAGGAACTTAAAGTGAAAACAAGCAATATTGAAAATGAACAAAGTTTTTACAAAACTTATTCAGGGATAAAAAATATAAGGCCTGGGAGTCGGATCAAATTTCAACTAAGATCAATCGCTCGCTGTAAGAAGAGATAAATACATGGGTTGCGTTGACGTCTTAGGCTAAGGCTAAGAACATAGAGCAGAGTGGCGAGGAATAGCGAGGTACTTGCAACTTTATTATTTTCTTATTTGCTTATTGATAATTTAAAATGTCACCAGTGGCTAAAAGCCTGACCACTGCCGTTCTTTAAAAGATCAGCCTGGGGGCGGACTTTTGTTCACTTCATCAGCTGTACATACTTAGATATTGGATTAGATTCCGTTTCATATTTTGTCGGTTGATTTTTGGTTTTAACTCTTTGATTTTTGGTATTATTTATTATTGTAGTGCAAAAAACTAATTATTTTGGTGTTTAAGTGACATAAACTACTACCAGATATATGGTCACTCCCGGTTTCGCATAAAAAAATAGAAAAATGACACGTTGTGTAAGTGATTTAACCTAAAAGTGCCCATACATTTTTTACTTATTGTGATTTTTGTGTGTGTTTTTCAAGACTCTAACAATTCATCAATAAAGCTTAAGTGGAGTGTGTTTTTGGTGCTATGCCTCATCTTTGTTGTGTTCCTGGTGGAAAGGATAGTTATACTAGCCAGCCTAAAGTGTCCAGAAGAGCAAGAACAGTGGGTACGAGTTATAAATCAAGAGAATTCTATTGAAAATATCTTTAATAAATTTAATTTAATAAATAAAAAAAATAATATTCTCCCATGATGGTATTAATGAAAACTGGACAATTATGTTTATTTTATTCATATTGTGGAATCTCCACTCCAAGTGTTGTTGGTTCAGCTTCGATAGATTCAAACACGTACGTTGGTATTATGATCTAGGAAAAAATAAAGAATATGTGTATTAAAGATCATGAAAAAGATTATTATTTTGAGTTCAAATTTTAAAAAAGATTATTGTAAAGTATATAATATATAATGTATGTCAAGCATAACATATATTTGTTCAGTAATTTTTAATGAATAGTGTTGATTATTTATAATACCAAATTAATATCAAATATTTAAGTGATGGCTGAATACAATATGAATAAAATAACAATAAAATTGGTATATTTGCATAATACAAAATTAAGTTTTAAGAATAAAGGTGTTACTAAAAATTCTAAGAAATTCATATTTCTTTGTATTAATTGGTCTAATGTTAATTACATTTTATGTAAAAATTATACCGTATCATCCAAAAAAAATCGGCGTCTAGTTGGCTTGGAAATGAACATCGATGACATTCCCTAAATAACTGTACACAAAATAATTAACTAGAATTTTACAATCTTGGAAAATTTGATATTCTTGAACCTTGTTTCTAAATATTCTAATTTTTTTTATTTTCTTGGGATTTAGGTTCGGGAAAAACGCTGATTAAGTTTTCATTTGGTTTTTCGTTATTTTTATTTGGTTTAAAAAAAACGTTTCGGCTAACATTATAGCCTTCATCAGTGTTGTATCATATGAAAAAAATAGTGTCGAATATAATCCAAAAAATTACATATAAAATATTCACCCCACACACATAATGTTTACTGCGTACTCCATAGTCAATGTAGATAATTTTAGTGTTAAGAATAATAATTTTAAAAAATATGTGGTCATCTTTTGATAAGTTTATATTAGTTTATTAATTGCAGTAAACATTATGAGGTGTGAATTATATTGTATATGTAATTTTTTGAATTATATTCGACACTATTTTTCTCCTATGACACAACACTGATGAAGGCTATAGTTAACCGAAACGTTTTTTTAAACCCAATAAAAATAATGAAAACCCAAATGAAAACTTAAATCAGCGTAAAAATCCCAAGAAAATCAAACATTTTAGAATAATTTTACATATAAAATGCCAGCGATCTTCATTTCATAGCCATCGCTGACGCCTTTTTTTAGATAATATTGTATTATTTGTAAATATAATTTTTCGAACATTGATACTTGCAAAATATACATATAAATTTTGTGAATGCAAATAATAATACATCACTATTAGTAGATATTGAATGTTTTTTGTTAAATTCGATCGATTTTCAAACCCCAAAATTTAAAATATATTTACATTTTACCCATTATCTTATGTACGTATACATTATTTGTACATTGTAAAACATTTGCTGCATTTGTATGGTTCATAGTTTATTTGCCAAAGTATTTATTACTATAAATAGGTATATATGTTGTAGTTATTAACTGTATATTATGTATATTTCATGTAAACTATATCATTTTAAAATACAAACCAAAAATCTGAGGAATAATTATGTTTTCCATGTATTCTACAACATATTTATTAATCCGTTATATCTAACTAGCGTGACGTCATAAATCTCGCCCGTAGGCTGATCTTTTAATAGAAGGCACTGGCCTGACTAGTAGTGTCGTAAACATTTGGTGTATTTGAAACTAACAAACAAGAAGGTTAAGGACATGGCAGAGCGGCAGCAACGGCCAAGCTAAGTCGAAACACCGGTTCTCATTAGAACATCGAAGTTAAGCGACGTAAGGGGATACTAGTGGATGGACCGGTGACCGGTTCGAAACTCTGTATTGTGTTGTTGTCGTCCAAGGCAAAAGTGTAAAATCTATTGACACACACTGCTCATTCACGCCGGTTCGAGGCCGGATGAGATCGGATATCTCGTGAGTAAGGACTCGAGGACCGAGGTTCGGATTCCGCGTAAACAAAGTAGGCCCGGTCCAGATTAGCCCTTGCAGCAAAAAGGATACGTTAACTGAAATCTTTACTTTACTTTATAGCAAAGCGGCGAGGAATAGCGAGGTACTTGCAACTTTATTACTTTCATTTGCTTATTGATAATTTAAAATGTCACCAGTGGCTAAAAGCCTGAACACTCTCTCCGGTTTTTGAAAATTTTATGTAGACTACATCTTCAGGTTTGTTGGTTTCAAATCAACCAAATGTTTGTGACACTACTGTCCAGAATTTTAGCCACTGTTAACATTTTAAATTATCAATAAGCAAATGAAAATAATAAATTAGCAAGTACCTCGCTATTCATCGCCGTTCTACTATGTTTCAGCGCCTCGAGGCTTGCTCGATGCGGTATCGCGCTGCTTGCTCGCTGCTATCCTCGTCGCCCACTATGTTCTTAGCCTTATGGAACGGAGTTGCAGGTCTGGCATCCTAGTCCTATAGGAAACGGAAAAATGCTAGATGAGTACTTGAAAAAATATAATATTATACTTATTCTTCTTGCCGGTTTCTGTTGTTTTTCTTTCGTTCTTTAATTGAAGTGTTAGTGCTCAACTGACACTTTTATAAAATTTTGAACTAGCAATTGTGGTAGTCGGAACTTTGTTATTTTTTATCGTCGTTTAGCGCCTTGACGTCCTTGTGCAAATATGCGCGTCTGGAAATATTTTTCATTTTAAGTTTTTCTAGTTGCCTGGATACTCGAAAAGTCAATT